TCAGGCGTGGTGAGCTTTTTCAAATGGTCTTGTGCATATTGTAGGGGCACATACGAGGACCAAAACTGAGGTTCATTTTCGCTGCGCGCTTCTACGAATAAAAAAAACGTAAAAAATAGGTCGATGGTTCGGATCCCACCGAGGACAAAATTTTGCTTTTCTACAATTTTTCATTTTTTGGATCCATGTTTGTCTAAATAATTGGTCCTAACAAAAACATTCACGATAAACTGAACAATCCTACTTTTATGGAGCAAAACTGCTTTTTCGTTCGAATTCGTTAGTATGCACAGACTCAGCTCTTCGGCGCTATGCCGGTGCCAGATGGCACCGAAAATAAAGTCTAGAATCGTGATCAGGACTGTCGATTACCCCTAGGAGCAAGTTTTGAGCGAAAAAATTTTTTTGACTTTTTCGGGTTGTAGGTGACCGTTGGTCGGCAGTGTGAGCGGAGTCTCACATCTTCGTAACAGCGATCGTTGACGCTACGGACCCCGGACAACCCAATAAGCAAACCCAAGAAGGTCAAAAATTGTTTTGACCGAAAATTCGTTTTTAGTGGTAATCAGTGGCCCTGATCACAAATATAACACCTATTCTTGGCGTCCACGCAATTTGGAATAGCGGTGAACGTTCCCTATATTGGTGTACATAACGAATTCAAGGGGAAGAAGATGTGGACCCAAATTGTCTATAATTGACACCACACCAGAAGTTACTATAGATCCACTGTATGAGGATCAACGTCCAGCAACAGTCTTGTTCAATGGTGCGTGAAAATCGAAATAGTTGAATAGCACTGACTCATGAGGTACAGCTACTCAGAATGTGCCCATAAATGGCAAATATCGAGTTAATTGCGCAGACACTAATGGAAGCGAGAACAGCGAAATCTGAAAAATGCAAAAAGCCGCGACGCAAGGGGAGCCGAACCATCAACCCCACCCTCACTGTCCGATTGCGAAACCTCCACTCTATCCGCTAGGCCATCCGATGCTCGACTGCTAGCGCTCTTATCGTTGATGAAACCATTGCAAGAAGCCGTTCACCCTTGAGCACGTGACCCAAGTTGGAAGCTCACTTGCGGCGATTTTTCGCTTCGATTCAAATAGCCCCTTTATAAGGACCCCCACTCAGCAACTGGGTTGCAAGTGACCTACGCCGTATAGAGGCCCAGAACGAAGCAGATTCCAAAGATTTCTTTTCACTCGTTTTTTACCTTTCCTGGAAGCGCGCAGCGAAAATGAAGCACACTTTTCAGGTCCTTGCATGAGCCCCTACAATATGCAGGTTTTCGAAAAGCGCACCACGCCCTGAACGACCTCCCTTGTTAGGTGTCCCAGTGAGATTTTCTGCGATGCTCCTCTATTTCTAGAACTTTCTTTTTTATAAAACTTAATTGCATCGATTCTAACAAGACTTTATTCGTATAAGAAGAAGCTACAGTAAGTCTCATCCCCTGCTGACTAACATCCCCATGTGACGGCGGATTTGCGGTGGAGTGCTGGTGAGCTTTTCGTACATTGTGGGAATTTCTTGTTAATTCTGCACACATCGCTGCAACAGATAGGTTATTTGGGCCCTTGAGGGGGTGGCGTACATCTCCTTGACTCGAATCGTGTTAAGGCCTCGGAAGAAGGCGGGGTTAGCCCCTTCAATGAATATTCCAACCGAAACCCTCGAGATGCACAGAAGTATTAACGAAAAGAGCAACAATGTGAAGCTCCAAAGATAAAATTTCGGAGCATCACACTGTTGCAACCGCTCACCAAATTTGAGGAAACTAATTTTAATGCAGTAATCATTTCACGGTTTGACATGTGTGCACACGGGAGTTGAAAAATAACAAATAAAAATCTGATGGTTGGTATCATTCGAATGTCTTTGCTGCAGTGTATTCGGTCAGTTATGACGGTTCAGGAAAATGCTCCTACTGCTCCGGCTCCAGCTCCAGCCGCTCCAGCTCCTGCACCAGCTGCACAACCCGCACCTGCTGCTGCCGCCGCTGCCCCAGCGGGTGGTACTGTTCTGGCACCACCCCGTGTTGCGCCTGCAATCCCTACTCGACAGTATCTCGACCAAACGGTAGTTCCTATCTTGTTGCAGGTAAGCGTTAACAGTTTGAACCTTTTTGCTTTATTATTCTGCAGCAGTATAAAAATTTTTTCTCATAGGCACTGGGAGCACTTGCGAAAGGAGCGACCGGAGAATCCTATCGACTTCTTGATTAACTTCCTCATCAAAGAAAAGGAACGCTATCAGCCGTCAACAGAGAATGTCTCCTAATCTTCCTGCTGCCAAATGAATCCGGCAACAAAACACCGTTGTTACTTTTTTGAATTTGCTCTGTAGATAATTGAATTCGACAAATGTTTTGTTGTGGCTTTTCGAAATTGCTGTTTAATTATCGCAAGCAGAATTCCTTGCGAATGGTTTGTTTAATTTACATTTCTCCATCCGAGTAATTGTTCCTTTTCCTCATTTGCGAATAAAGCTTCATTACTTATCACTTGGCATTGAAATAAACGTGCCCTTGAGGGATCGTTTTCATATCTCCTAATGGCAGTGCTAAAAAAAATCATAGTACCGTCTCTTAAAAAGTAGTCTTGTTCGCTGCACATCATAGACATGTCTGCGCAGCTGCGTTTGGCGCGGCACTATCCGTTTTTTTTCTTCTGGCAAGTGGCAAGATCCGCATAAACCATTTCTCGTTTACTCGCTTCAACAAGTGGTGGGCAATGGGAATGGCAGGCCGGGTGGACCGGCCACATCATCCGCAGAGAACAAGACCGTAGTTCCATGGATATTTCCAACCAAACGATCGCGATTATTGTCCTTTTGTTTCCAATTGCGCAAGCTGGCAATGACGTGAACTTGTGTCTCGTTGTGCTTATTTTCTCTTGTTTAATGGTTGTGTAGGTTGTAGTATATATTGGGCGCTCTTTCCTTCATCTTGGTTGGCAAGCGCTCACATCCTGCGGCAGTCTGGAGTCGCAAAATATGTTTGAAGCTGTTGGGTAAATACTTAACGGTTTAGTCCACCCGAATGGAGACTCCATGGTGGGGGGAAAACAATGAGAATACTGGATATTTATGTACTATTATAGCTCCGGCGGCATTCAGTGCACGTTGGGAATAATCACCTGGGGGATCATATTTGGACGCTGGCGTTAGGGTGGAGTCGTATTTAGTTCGAGAAAAATCTTTCAAATCTTTGTCATAGTTGATTCTTCTCGTTTTACGCGCGCTACCCACATCTGGGTGAATCCCAGCGAAGGTGAGGGCGTAGTTGCTCCTCGTTGGGGAAAGGTGATCTATTCCGTTTTGAGAGAATTTTTCCGCGCCATGAAAAAATCCGCCCTCTACTTGGGCGTTTCAGAACTGCAATTTCTGATAGTAGAAATCAGTTGCAGTTGCCACTTCCCCCCGGTCGATGGCAAAATATTGGTGAAATATTGAAAGACCAGCTGGATCGCCGGCTGACGCAGGCGCTCCTTCTGTTACACGGATCGGCTTCGCCAGGCAAGTGTAACTACGCCGCGATTTTTCTTTCTGGGAGTGAAGGAAGTAAATTAGAGAAAGTAAGTCATAAGGGATAGGGGATACCATCAGCCTCGCTAAAAGAAGAAGTGGCACTCGCTAGGGGCGAGCTGGATCGAGTCACAGACAGATGTGCGCCGACTTGAGCCAGCCATCCCACTGGTATTCTAAAATAGCATCGATCGATGTATTCTTATGATTCTAGAGAGACAAACCACTAAAGAAATGTGGGGAGGACAAATGGGCAGTGGTACATTTCTTTTTCACCATATTTTTGATTTTCAAATTCCTTACCGTTCCCCTTTTAAGCGCACTTTATACCCCCCCCCCGCACGCTCGACACCATTGCAGATTTTAGTTCAGTGGTTCACTGGTTGATTTTGATTCTACTAACGATTATATATGGTAGGATGGTAGGATAGTGGAATGGTTCATTTTCTACTGCTATCAGGAAATTGATTGCTAAAAGAAAGAGTTCACCCACAGGCCTTTGATTATTTGGCACTGTAGTGGTAAAGTGATAAGAAATTTAGTGAACATGACCTGTTATCTATTCTTATCGATTGATATGGTTACCTGTCATCCGCCATCGATGTCTTTACCACTAACTTTATAATTTGGTAGTGTAAAAGCTCCACCACCTTGGATGGCGACAACGAATGCAACGTCCCTTATCCCTTATCCCTAGTTGTTTTATAACTTTTTGTCACTCACTATTGATGTCCCCATTTCAACCTCTATATCGCTTGCTGGAACCAAAGGTTCGCTGATGCTTTGACGGCGCTGTTAATGCTGTGGTCTTACCCTTTTGCTGCTCCCTTATCGAATCTTATCAGCAGCTCACAGTTCCCGTCACCCACCAAAGATGTTCCTGTCCCATACCTCTATATCATATCTTGGAATCAGCACCTACCTGATGCTGTCACCCGCGTTATGAATATGGTGATCATCCCCTTCTAACGCCTCTTATCAAATCTTATCAGCTGATATCACTTCCTGTCACCCACCAATTGTGTTCCCGTCACGCCTCCTCACTTCTTGAGACCAATGTCTCATTGCTACTGGAACATGAACATTATGGCGCTATAACAGACAGATGCGCGCACACAAATGGGCACAGATAAAGCCGATTATATATGCTAGGATGATGGCAAGATAGTAGGCAAAATGGGAAGGAGAGGGATTGTAGCAGACAAGGAATGTGCGGGAGGGAGAGAGTCATATTTTCCGAAAATCTTCCCCAACGGGAGAACGTGCCCTGGGCGCATTGCGCATTCGAAGAACGCACTGGAGGGGTTAGATACGTATCGATTCAGCTGCCTCAGAAGAAGTGATTAGTCAACGATCTCCAAATCTCTGTCCTCCTTAGAAATATGTATCTAATGCTTTCAACGCATTTCGCCATTGTCGATCTCCCACCAATTTATGGAGACAGCCTAGTGATTTTGCCGATCTCTGTGACGTGAATCTAATAATATTTATCTTCAGCGTTTCCTATTCATCAGATTTTCAGACACAATGGTCAAATTATTTGTGGGGAATCTAGCCGACACTGTTGATTCGACAAAGTTAAAACAGGTTTTCCAACAGTTCACAAAAGTGACGGAGTGCGATGTTGTGAAAAACTACGCCTTTGTAGTGAGTTTATTGTAATAACCTCGATAATTTTGCTGATGGATTATGAAACAATGGAGTGGGGTTTGAAAGTGAATTAATGTGAAATGAGGATGAAACAGTGTATGACATCTCTGGAAGTTAATTGAGTGACAAAGTTTTACTTTACTTTTACTTTTATCAAAACATGGATAGCATATGAAGTGTCCGTTGAAGCTGCCTCTTTTCCAGCATATCGAGGATGATGATGTGCAGTCAATTATAAATCGATTGAATGGATACAATCTGGAAGGAAAGAGTATACACATTCAACTGTAAGTTTTTTTGATCTGTTTTTGTACTATGTTAGGCGATTTTGAATAGAAAAAAAATGAGCGGAGTCGAGAAATTTAGTCACAAGTTCTATAAAGTAAAAGAATCGCCGTCAAAATACATGGAGAAGGCTACCCTACCCACACGGTTTTTAGTGACGGTGAGAAGGATACCACTAAAAACCGAGTTGGTAGCCTTCTCCATGTATTCTGCGCATTCTTTTACTTTCTAGAACTGCTTCTAGAGTAACTGTGTTGCTTTCAGGTCAACATCAAAATTGCGGTCGCAACCTGGGATGTCCAATCAATGCTTTCGTTGTGCTTCAACAGACCACAAGACGCCGCAGTGTCCCAAAGATCCTAATAATCAGTAGGCTCTCAATAACATTTTCTTTACTGACAAATCACTCAGTGTAGTCTTTAAATCAGAGATTTCGGCACTATTCACCCTATATGTCCTAATCATCAAAAATCAAGCCCTTCTTGTACCGACTTTTTTCTTTGGAGCAGAGTTGCCTAAAAAGTTGTACCTTGCGGTAGTTTGACCTCCTATACATGAATATCACATCGGCCCGAAACCCCGGACGCTCGCGCCACAGGCGCCGGCAACCAGGAATAGCTGAACACTCCCAACTCGCTAAAAACTTGCTCCCGGGGGTAGTTTGGCACTAAATACAACTATCACGCCAGGTAGGTCTGAAAACGCCTGACGCTTACGTCACAAGCGATTGATCACTTGTTGCGCCGGCTCCAGTTGGTTTTGTGACGAGCGGTATGCTAGAACAGTTAGGGAAACGGTGAGAAGAGGCCTTTCTTGCTTGCTTGTGATGATGACACCTTGAAAAGGCTCAGTCTTAGCAGAGGAAGTGATCGCAATCTCGGGGAAGGGTTCAGAAGGGCGAAAGCAAGCTGCATTGTTAGGTGCATCTCTTTACTTCATCGCTAACCTTTTTAACAACTCATACAAATGTGATATTCGTCTTCGGAAGGTGAAACCTCCAAGGACAAGTTTTTAGCAATTTTGAGTGCTCAAAATATGCTGGCACCGGCGCATGTGGCCCGGGCGTCGGGGGTTTCAAACTGAGCTGGTGTGACATTCGTGTTCAGGGGGGTCAAACTAACCTCCCCCCTTGGCGCAAGATTTCAGTGGGCGCCAGGAGATTTTGGGCCAAGCGGATGCGATGTTAATGTTGAGGAGGTTAGTTATCCCAAGGTACAGCTTTTTAACCAAGTCTGTCGTGGGTAAAAAAAACTGGCCTTATTTCGGGATTAGGGAAGGAATAATAGTGCCGAGATTTCAATCGGTGTCTGGGTAACAATATGGCAAATATTCTCCAAGTTCTCTCTTGTTGTAACCTCGGCATCGTTGTTAATTCTGTTTATATTGCTATGCCACTCGAGGTTTTTAGGTGGAAATCTTTATTTTACGGCCTAACGTTTCGACTTGGTCGTCTTCTTCAGAGGCCTAAACGCGTTTCGAGGTTAGGAAATGAACACTACCTTACTAAGCGCCCAACCAACCCTAGCAGTTCCGATGGCGTGTTCGGAACTCAACCCAAAGGCCCACAACACGAAGAGTGGACTCACTAAGCTCCCACCGTATATCCGCAGTCACATGTGACGGTTGGGCGCTTAGTGAGGTAGTGTTCATTTCCTAACCTCGAAACGCGTTTAGGCCTCTGAAGAAGACGACCAAGTCGAAACGTTAGGCCGTAAAATAAAGATTTCCACCTAAAAACCTCGAGTGGCATAGCAGCATAAACAGAATAAATATGGCAAATAATTCACAGTCTTCTCATTCAGAGTTACGCAGACAATCAAAATAGATTTAACTGGTGCGGTGAAGCGTCCAGCCGGTGCGATGTGAGGGCTAATCTTTTAGTGTATTGGTTAGTGGGTTGGTTTCTGAACCCATGTGTATTTCTCCAGAGATGGACCCGATGCAAAACGACCGACTCAAGTGATCAACATGGTCGACGAGGAAATACCACGCCCACCAGAGCCGTAAGTGGTCAAACTTATTCACATATAGAAATTTTGATTCAGGCAGTTTCAGGATCGCAGTGTTTTCACTATAAGATTTTCACATTTGGCGTAATATAGTTCTCGTCTTTTGTTGATGCGAATCTTTTTTTCAACTATCGTTTGCACCCGTTCGTTTTACTTATTTTTTCTGCCTCTTCCGAATAATTTATACATTTTCAGTGAACTACAACAATTGTATGAGGAATACAGTTTATCGCGACAGCGGTATACTTACTATCGTGAACGACTGCAGAAGGAGATTCACGCGAAACGCAATGGCATGGCTGGATCGGTCTACGCCCCACTTGCGCCGTTGGGCACGACATCTACACAGTACTGCTTACTGCAGTTTTACGGTTTAACATAAATGATTTCAGGAGAAAATAATTAGGGCAAATGTCGGCGAAACAAGAATACTAAGGTTCCATTATTCATATAATCTTGGGTATTCGCGTTCACGGAAATGTTGAGTTATTTCGAAATCGTGCTCACCGATTAACTCCAATACGTCGTCTCCCCGTGTCACGCCTTCCCGTATCAAATGCTTCAATTTTCGTTATATTCGAAGATGTTATCACACTTCCTCCACCTTCAATAAATTTCCGCAGAACGGACACTCCAGCACGTCGGTTTTGCTCTTTCCGCACTGGTTCTTCTGGTGCGGTTTTATGCTTTTTGCAGCGTGAACAGCGAGCACCAGCACACGTGTGTCCGATAACGCCAGCGACTAGTAGAGTATAGATATCGTTCTGGTGAATGCCATCTCCGCCAGCCCTCACTAGTGTCTCGAAGGACTAGGGAGGTATAGGGGTCAATCTAAGTCCAGTTTTCAGTAGAGAGTATGGGGAAGTAGGAGGGTTGCAGGCGGCTGGATTAGGCGTCGTGACATTGCGGCGTGTGCCCGCACCGTACAACGGCAGTACACCGCACGTCATGTTTGCGTAGTTCTGTCTTCAGCAGTTGTATTGTGCGGTTGCACACGCCGCAATTTCGCAACGCCTTATCCAACTGTCTGCTACCCTCTTACATCCCCATACTCTCTACCTTGGACGCTAGCAGGCGCTGGCGTGCGCTAGATCGATACCTATAGTTCCCTAGTCCTTCGAAAGCCTGCGTTGGCTAGATCGATGTCTATACTTTCCTAGTCGCTGGCACTGGCGGACGCTCGAAAAACTGGTGGTCGCCGGTGGCCTGCCTGAAAGTATGAGCGCAGCCTCATTATTCATTCGGGTTCGATGTTTTCATCTTCGTTACAATCTCGCAAATCGCGTCAACGCGAGACCGATTCAAGAACAGTTTTACTTATGACGTCTCATCTAACTATTCTTAGCTGTTATTCTTCGTACTGCGTTACCTTCCTATAGCTTCCTTACGGAAAAAGTTTTTCGACGAACATGTCTTCATCATCATCATCACCTATCTTTATCTTTAGTTAATCGGTGAGCACAATAGGACGAGACCTCGCTGACGCATTAGATTCCGTTTTCGTATCGTTTTTCTTTTTTTCGTTGATCGTGCGTTTCTTGATAACCAATGCGGCGATGCAATCATGTACACACGCACACATCGATATGGTTTTCAACGTCTGCACTAGATTGTTTAGACTACAGTGTATGTCTTCACTATAGAACTACGACTGTAGTTTTGTCTACTTCTAATTATAAAGCGACAGGTAGAAGTCGTAGTCGTCGTTTCATTCTACAATCGATAATAACCGTTTTTCGCTCAACATTAGTCGCGTCGCGTGAGCACGATAATGTCGATGGTTTATGCTGATTCGCAATCGTATTATCGCGGCGTTATGATATTCGGTAACATCGGGTCGCTACGTTCCAGGGAATTCACTTCTGTAACGTGTTACATAAAAAAAACTCCGTTATGATTTGATCTGATTCAGGCTTTCTTCGGCTGCCGTTCCCTACCTCGCTCCCCAGCCACAA